GATAAATATGTATCATCACTGTCTGTTTAACCTTGGATCTCCATTTTAATCGTGACACCAGCTGCCCTTTATGTTGTGTAAAACAATTTATGATGACTCCTTGCACATATAGGGGAGACTCAGTGTGGTTGTAACACTTTGCTTCAGCACTTGTGACTCACTGAATGTTTGAGCTAGAGTTCTTACAATTTTGTGCAAAGTACCCACATTTGTTCACTGCAAATTAGATTAGAAACTTTGCAAGAACATCACAGACTTTGTGAGTTGAGGTCAAGTGTTCCTTGTGTAACCTGGTGTGCACATGCTGTGGTAAGCTGTATAAAATAGGTCACGAAGCCACCACCTGGAAGATGTTCAGGGCTCTCCCTCCTCTGACATGACCTGGAAGAACACCTGTCCAGACCAACCCAGCACTCTTCAATCCACTCTGGTTCATTTTCCTTCCATTGTTAAATTTGTGACCACTTCATTAGACTTTTATTAGACTGGGTAACAGGATTGGGGGCGTGTCCGTGTCCGTGTTCGTATCGCGTGTCTCTCTCTCTCTCTCTCTCTCTCTCTCTCTCTCTCTCTCTCTCTCTCTCTCTCTCTATTTGCTGCTGGTTTTGTCTGCTGAGTATTTGTGTTTTTGAGGACGCGTTGTGTTTTTATGGACTTATGATTGCGGCACAATGCAAACTACCTGCATACATCACCGTGAATGCCAAGCCAATAAACATGGGTCATTAAATGGCTTACTGTGAGCCACATGGAAAACATTTCCCTACGGCTCCTCGGAACCAACAACTGGGTATTGCTTCGGTTTGAGTGTCTCACATAACTCTGTACAACTAGTCTTTGACTATAGAGAAGTGCTGATATGCCAGCGCGTGCTCCAGCTTGAGCCTCTGACCGTCAATAACTCTCACTTGGTCAAAGGCATACTTCAGAGTGTTGTCATAGGACTGCTCTGGTGGGCAAATCCTGAGGGAAGAACTGCTTGTGACTTTGGGTTTGGCTGTGCCGACCGAAGCTCCGTCCTCCGACTGCCCGGCTCCACTGACTCTGATGCAGCACAAGACAGACCTAATTTAATTAAAAAAAATTGGAATTTGCTATAAAGCAAAATATGTCATTACTGTGCAGTGTTTTGTTGTATTTGTAGTAGAGCTACCTTATAATGTTTGAGTGTTTAGTGGCAGATCAGAGATACACATGCAGAGCAATCAGAATTAATGTAAAGCACAGTGCTGTATTAAACCCCTAAAGTGGCCAGTTTATCTGACCCTGTATTAACTAAAACTAAACCTCTGCTAAGCTAATGACAAAGTTTAGCATAGTATGAGCCAAACATAAACATGTTTTCTGTTATCCTACCGTCCATGATTGGATCCTTCCTCTGTGGATCATACTGATAGATTTTTACTCCGTCCCCTCATTATTCCCATCACCTGTGTCTTGTCAGGTCAGTTTGTCTCTGTGTGCATATACAGCTCTGGTTTTGTTATGTTTATTTCATACAATTCCTAGCTGTGTTTCACTATTTCCTCATGTGCCTCACTATTGCTTATTTCTATCTGTCTGCCTTAGTCTGTCTGTTTGTTGCTGATTATTGAATTAACTGCAAGGGTAATTTTTAAGGAAAGAAAGGGATGAAAAAAAGTTTAAAAACTTTAACTTTAGGCTTGTCTTTGAGTTTTTATTTAGGCTAAGGGTTATTATTCAGAAACTAACATGAATGACTCTGTAATTACCATCATGCTAATATATAGTTATTAGATTATTCTGAACAAGGAAGGTTAGATACTCAGTTCTAACCAGAAGGAGCCATTTACAGTTAAAAAGGGATCAAGTTTAGAGTTTCTCAGGCTTAGAAATTGTTCATATAGCCTGCAGCCCAGTGAAGCATAGTTGCTGGTATGAGCCTTTAGCACTCAACAGAAACGTCATATGTGACCGAAAGGGGAGTGGAGTTGACCTTGGCTGTGCGTCAGGTGGGCGCTGAGGTCTTACTTTCATTTCTCTGCAGCTCATTAAATCATATCTCTGCTCATTACATTAAAGTACACTTCCTATCACGCTCAGAGTTCAGGGTACAGAACTATATTTCATTCAGTACACAATCCTGTTTCACAATATTTTTTTTAGTTATTTATTTATTTTATTTTTGTTTTTTGCAGCTCTGAGCTTTTGTTCCATCTCTGTTTTGTAAAGCCATATATGTGGACTCTAAATTGGTGAATACATTATACATTAAACTAAAGCAACATTTATGTATGAAGGCTCAATGTACCTCAGGCTCAAGGGGGACGCTGGAGGCAGGGTTCAGTGTTGCAGCAGCCATTTTCTTTATTTTCTCCTCCAAACAAACAACACAAACGGAAACAAATCCCACGCTAAGCTGGCCGCTCTTCAGTCCTTCTCTTCACTCGAGCTATTCAGCTCTTCACTGTCTCTGCTGCTGCTGCTCATCCCTCTGTCTCTCTCTGTTCCTTCTCAGTTCTTTTTAAAAGGCGCCTAAGCACCCGAGCCGAGAGGGAACGAGAGCTCATTGCTCCGCCTCCTCGTTACCACAACCCCCCCCAAGCCCCAAGTGGCTAGCCCAGGCAGCCATGCAGCTGTGATGCAGCGTTGCTTAGGCAGCTGACCCCAGAGGCCTCGTAGCTGTGGCGTAGCGGTGCTCACACAGCCAAACACTACCAGTCCAGGCAGCCAACAGCTGCATTGCAGCGTCATCTAAGCATTCGGCCTAGGCAGCCACATAGCTATGATGTAGTATTCATCCGGTCCCTGGTCCAGGCAGCCTCGTAGCCGCAATACAGAGTCACTCGTGCAGCCGGTCCAGGCTTCATCATAGCTGTGATGTACCATTACCCAAACGGCCAGACCAAGAAGCCTCAGAGAGGAAAATCACTCTTGGCTACTATCTCGGTGTGATGATGGCAAACTGCTCAGTCAGCAGGGAAACAACAAAACATACACACAAACAATACAAAACAAAACAAACGAAAAACTGATGTAAAGCGACAGCCGTATTGCACCAGCATACTTACAGTGGAATGCACACGCACACACTGTGTGCTCCCCTCAGTCCAGCTCTACCTCTCCACCACGTTTTTTGTGTTCATGATTGTTTGTTGTAAGAATCATGTGGGGAAATATGTCATAACACAAAATTTATGCAGAAATGTATTTTTTTCAGGATCGTAGATTTTGTGACGATTCAAGTATCGCCATCATTTTCGTTTTTTGTAAAACGTCCTCCTGAGAAAAGATACGGATAAAAGACAAATATAACAGTAGCTATATGTCAAAGAGCCAAATCACACAGTTTGTAAAAACCTTGTTTATGAAAATAATTATTATTGAGACCTTCACTTTTTTATTTTCTTTTAGGAACAGTGTTTTCACTCCTCTTTCTTTGATGATTTTATGTTTAAGTTATGCCAATCAACAATGCTGATTGAAAGCATGTTTTTGTTGTGTAAATTCTCATATTAAATTAAAGAGTAGCAACTGCACAATTTAAAAAAAAAAATTCTAAAATGAACTGGGCGGACCTCCCGGCCTACACCCCCAATCTTAAAGTCCAGGAATGTATTTCAAAGGAGAATGTTAAGGTAACTGACAGGAATGATGGGAAACAGTATGTTTTCGTATCTTGTATGCTGCAACTGTGCCCCACAAGGCTTGTCTAGATGTGCCAGTACACAGCTAAGAAATTAGTGACTAAATAATAATGGCTAAAATGTAACTGAGTAAAACGTAAATTCCTTACTCACTAATATACTTCAGTAGAAGTAAAAGTATTATGATTTGAAAACACTCAGGAGAGTCCAAATACATCCAAGGTTGGCTTAAGTACATGCACCCCTGGGTGTCCGGTCTTTTCCACAAATGGGGTGGTTACTGCAGGTTTTCTTTCAAAACAAGCTGGACTACACTGATTCCACTCATTAAGTCAGTTGGTCTCATTTTTCAAACAACAGAACATGTGAGCTCCTGCTTTGTTGGAATGAAAACCTACAGCAAACCCTCCCTTTGGAGATAAGATTAGACTAGTCACTTTGTCACATCTGCTATCAGCTAATTAACCCATATACTCATATACTCGCTGTTTTCCAGATAAGAGATACAAATTAAAATGAATCAGAAAGTTAATATGCTAATGATGTTAGATTTAGCATTTAGTGGGCTTAGAATTATAAGGTTGTATGTGACATTTTTGTCAAAATTATGTGCATGTAGTTAATTTTGTGCAGATTGTTGTTGGACAGGTACTATAGAGTAACACTGCTAACTGACCAGCTCATTCAAAATATGGGCTACACACCCACCTCAGCTCTGGAAGGGAACAGATTATTTGGATCAGGTGTGTTTGCAGCAGGGAAGTTACTAATTTGTGCAAGGGAGGGGGTTACTCCAGGACCGGGATAGGGGGTACGTCAGGACCAGGGTTGTTCCCCTTCCCTGGTCCTGGAGGCCCACTGTGCTGCACTTTTTAGTGTTTTCCCTGCTACCAACACACCTTACCTAACTAAGCAGCTCATTAACATCCCATTATTCAATTAAAGTGGGTGCTTTAAAGCAGGAAAAGCACAAAAATGTGCAGGAAAGTGGACCTCCAGGACCAGGATTGAGAAACACTGCTCTCTTCCAACAATGGCCCTATGAAAACGTCATTAGGTTGGAAAGGTACATGGATCTATGTACATTTCCACATCAAATTCATAAATCATTCATAAATCCTTAAGCAAACATATTATCGTCTGTTTGTTTCATAAGTCAGGCTCTGAAAAGCTTTTTGTAGACGCTGGAGAAATAGAAACAGACGTAGAAATGTTCGGTTTCAATTCACATCCAGCCATGATGTGATACGGTGAAATGAAAGTAGTTGAATGAAGGCAACCCCTCCCATCTGTACTTCCTCCAGTCTGAGACAATAGATAAGACTGCAGAAGGTAAAGGCTCAGGTGAGTGAGAAAATGAGGGGAGGTGTGAGTGGGTGGAGCAGGATTGGGAAACCGTGATACTGTTTTGAAGGTTGAACCTCATTTGTGGGATGCTCTGAAAAGCCTCCATGAAGCCACACCCCACCTTAGATGAGATTTATATCTAACCCAGATCTGCTCTGCATCACATTTCAAACCTCTCAGATCCACCAACAATGAAGCTGCAAGTAACACTGGCGCTCATCTCTGTGCTTCTCCCAAAAGGTATGGAATATCACTTTGTAATGGAACGACTTTTTCAGTGTGTTTCAATGCATAATGCACTTTTTCAATGCAATATTGTGTGTTAAGTTATTAAAGTTTAATGTTTGAGGATATGAGTGAATGTTGATTGATTGTTTGTTGCTGAACTGTTGGTTCTCACGTCTGACTTCACTGTCCTCTAGCGCTGACACTGGAGTGTTATCGGTGTATACCAGATGTGTCTGGAACATGCACAGACACCCAGACAGTCTGTGCAGATCGGTGTGGCAGCGCGACCGCGCTTGTGAACACTGGTAAGACTGACCTCAGTACAAAATGGTGAGACTCAGTCAGAAATTCCTTCGCTAATTCATGTGTGCTGTGTTTACTAGCTGGTATAGAACAAAAGGTAAGTGCAAAGGATTGTGCAGTAGCAGCGGAGTGTGTCAATGGGAGCCTGAACCTGGGACTCATGAAAATGACTATCAACACACAATGCTGCACCACTGATCGCTGCAACACCCAGGTTCCAGCAGGTAAAACCAAAAGCTTTGAGTACTGAGCAAAGAACGTTGACCAGAAAGTTCAACTGCAGAACTGAAGAAAAGGTGTTAAATCTCTTCTTGTGGCTTGTTTTCCGGTTCAGCTTTGCCATTTGGGTCTCCGAATGGGAAGAAGTGTTACACCTGTGTTAATAACGACTGCACAGGAACTGTGAGCTGTTTGGGAGGTGAAGATCAATGCGTCAGCGCCACAGGTGAGAACGGCAGTACTCAGTTATATATAAGAATGTTATTATGTGCATTTTTGGCCTAAAATAAGAGCTACTCACAAGAGGGAAAGTTCTTATCATGACACTCAGACTATAGTTTGAAAGTTCCAGTCCTAAATAACTATTGCTTGGGACTTTTAATGAATTAAGGTATTTATTTATTCTCCTGACGTCCACTTACATTTGTGTGGGTTTATCTACCAATTGGTCATTTTACACAACCTCTTTCTCTTTATCTGCTAGAACTAAACAGACCGTGTTTATTATGTCAAAACTGATATATCCTCAAGCTAAATTTAGCTAAATTCTCCAAAAGGAAAAAAAAAACTGTATCAAAAAAACACTAACAAACAAATGGCAAAAATGGAGACACAAGGTTTTGTTTCAACACTGTTCTGATTGGCTGTCCTGTATTGCGCCTCATACAAAATGCAATCTAGGCTGAAATGCCTCTGCTGTCGGCTGAATTGACAGATATAGATAAAGACATTCAGAATCACTTTTTTTGAAACACTGTTGAAGTGATTTAAGAACAGGGTTGGTTGGCACAGTGTTGATTTCTGGGTCAGTAAGGGAGATTTCTCTCAAAGTTAACATAAAAATTACTGACCATTCATGTTGTTCAGTTGGGGATGATAATCAATAACAGTTTGTTTGTATGTCATAGTTTATGAAATGCCAGTTGTTGCTTACTTTTTTGTAAATAATGCTAAAAAAAGGCAGAAATGGAGATACAGGGTTTTGTTCCACAGCGATGCTGTTCTGATTGGCTGTGCTGCATTAGACCTCATACAAAAAGAAACCCACACTCCTTACAGTTTCAGGGTGAATAGGCAGAGCTAAACTGGTGTAAACAGGCAGAGAGATGCACACATGTTGTTTTTTGTGAGATCACGTTTAAAACGGGCTGTTTTTGCAGCTTAATTTTATATAGTGACTGTATGAACTGGGGAGTGAATTGTATGTTTTGAAACTATAACAATGTTTAAATTCTACATCAAAGACTTTTATTTCAGAAAGAAGCAATTTTTTTCATGATATGCTCTTTAAAGTGAAAAGAAAAGAAAAGTAAAAGAATTTGAGGGGGAAAAATACCACCACTTTTCATCTGATTTTGCCTTTTATCTGTCTAAATGGATTCATGTAAGTAACTCCTTCATCTCTCTCTCCTACGTCTACCTTCACAGCTACAGCTAGTGGTGTTCAGGTGACTATGAAAGGATGTGCGAGCAGAAGTCTCTGCACTGCAGACGCATCGAGCATGCAGGCAGCTGGAATCACTGGAAGTGTGAGCTGCTGTGAGGGGAATCTGTGTAACAGTGCTGAGGGGGTTAAGCTGAGTCTCCTCATCATGCTGGTTCCTCTGATCTCCTCCGTCCTCTTCATCTGAACACTCTGCTGTTCAAACACCTTTTTTTATACATTTCTTTTCTATCTTTTGACACTAGCAGAAATGTATATTTTACAAGATGACTGAATGGAGAGTCTGAATGCTGTTTATAATGATGTTTTATGTAACCAAAATGACTAATAAACAGTGTAAAAAGTGAGTCTGTTTTCTTCTGATATATTTACGGATCTTTATGCTGAATCAGTTCAAACTGCTGTCGCATAGTAAGAAAAAAAATCAAGCATTCAGACCGTTTAGATATTGGAAGGGTTATGTTATGATCTATTTAAACATAAGGTATTAATTAAGACAGTAATAAGCTGCACCATTAAGCTTTCCTACAGTTAAGTGTGCCCATCTGACTTCATGATGTATTGTTTTCCGGGTTGTCTGTAAAATATTGGTCCCATTATGACTAACACAATCACAAACTTCAGAGCCGGGGAGAAATATCTTGGTTATAGTGACAAAGGATATTTGCAAACCCCACTATGGCACAATAGAAACGAAAGAGATAAAAGGTTTTGTTCCCACAACGACACTGTACTGATTGTCCTGTATTGCGCCTCATACAAAATGCAATCTAGGCTGAAATGCCTCTGCTTTAGGCTGAATTGACAGATGTTGCTGCGCAGGTACTTTGCCCCCACTGCAGTCTCTCTGTAGCCTGGATTTTGGACTGGTCAACACAAATGCCACAAGGGTGTGCACTCCTCGCTGACAGGTTTCTCTGTGGCCATTCACTGTGCCACAGATGCTGACAAGGGAGCACCTCGTATTTGCTGCCCTTACACTCTGCCTTGTCTGCACTACTCGCCACCACACCAGCTCCAAGCCCAGCTTTTCCTTCCCAAGGTCAAGCAAGGCCCCAGCCACCATGAGGAAGTCCAGCCCGAGAATGCACGTCTTGCTAAAACTCTCGCTAAACCCTCGGGACCTCCGGCAGCAGTGTGTTCAGGAAGTGTTCTAATGCCAACTCAACCTGCCTTGATGCTGGAAGACCACTTGCAGCTGTGCGCTGTGCGCTGTATGACTCCCAGGTGCCTTCGCCGTTGTATAGTGGTAGGTGAATGGGCACCATCTCCCTCTGGCCGGGCTCCAGTTGGACTGCCAAGCCTCACCTGTCTTTGCTGTCTTCCTCAGCCAGCCATCTTGCTCTCGGCTGGCTCGACCTATCTGGGAGAGGGCAAACGCAGAGCTCAGTACCCCCTTCCACCAGGCTCAGTCTTCACTGTCTGCCACTCTTTTGAACAGACATTAACAGATAGCAAGAAACGCCCAGCTTTCGAACTGTGGGGTTAGTTGTTACAGAGCGTTACAACTAAACCACCTTTAGGAAAAAAAGACAAATAAGGTACATTTGTTTTGTTCCCACATTTTTTGATGAAAAACAGAAATCATCTGAAAACAGTGATTTTCTTCTACTTTATTAGTATCTTTCAGATGTTAGTATTTTGGTTTTAAATAAGCATATTAATGAAATTGACATTAACAGTTGGTAAAGCCAAGTAGTTATTCAGAAAGCGTGTTCCATATTGTCAGTTTTCATGTATAATTTGATGTCTGTGTGTGTATCTATCGATTGAGCTGTCTGTCTTATAGATAGATTATATAACATGCAGTTTGGTTGGAAAATATATTTGTTTCTTAAAACACAGAATTATATTGAATTAACTTTGTTTGCACTAATTCATTAGACTTTTTGACGTTTTAAGTCTTACTATTGTCTGTTGTTGTCTGTCTATTACAGTTAACCCACCCATGGGGTAAACTGAAACATTGCACTTCCTGTCATTTTAGGTGGAATTGTACATAAACAGAAGATGCTAGAAACAAAGTTCAAGTGTTTGTTTGTAGCAGAGATGTATATATTGCTTGTATAAAAATATGATTATTCCAAATTAAATATTTTTAGAAATTATTCAACAAAAACCAAAATGTGCACCCTGCTCTCCTCTACTATTGAAGGGATTTAAGGACAACTATAGGGGAGAACAGGGTTGGTTGTTACAGTGTCAAATTCTGGGTCAGTAGCAGGGGAACTCACAAAAATATAACTTTAAAATGAATAATAATAGAATAGTAGAAGAATAAACCACATTCAATTACCAAGCATTCTGAAGATTGAAACGTATAAAGGTGGGAAGCATGATAAGGATGAAGATAAAAGTTTGCTTACATATCATGGTTAATGAGACGACAACCCATAACTTTTATGTAAAACAACACATAGATAAAACAAGCAATAAAAGTGCATGAGATTATATTTAAAACACTCAAACAGCTTTTTCCTACGCAGCAGAGGTTCTTCTCGGTCCAAAAGCTGCTAGAAACAAACTGCATACTGCCAATGCTAAATCTCGTTGTGTAAGTGTTGCCAAGCCAGCAGAGGGCAACGGTGGCAATGTGCCATAAGTTCAGGGAACACCAATTCCCAGAAGCCCTCAGGCTGATTAGGCCCAACCTGGCACACCTGTGGACTCCTCTACTTAAGGCTGTGGCAAACAGCAGTCCCTTGTCACACCTTTGTAGAGGGGTGACCGATAGAGTACTTAGCCAAGGTGGGTATTTAAACAAAAAGAAAAGAAAAGAAAAGGGGGCTGGAAAAAACAAAAGAGAGAAATCACCCCAAATCTACTTAAAAACCAAAAGAAGGCTTCAGCAGCAAACAACTCTAAGCCATACAAAAAGTAGTTAAAACATGAGGTTGACCTTCCTCTCATGATTACAGAGGAAGTCATTTTTTCTGATTATCTTTGTTTAAAGACGTTGCTTTCAGCATCCCCTATGTTTGCCTGTGCTTCCCGGTGGTGCAGCGGTAACTAATATATGATGAATGCGAATGAATGTACAGTGAACTACAAAGAACTACAGAAGAATTTCAGTTTTTTTCCCACTTTTGTCTTTTTTCTTTTATTATTCTGAAAAATTCTTACTCTGGTCTTAGTCCTGATTCGGACTCAACGTGTCTAGGTCTCAGTCTTGACTCAAACTCACCTCAAGTGGTCTTGGCTGAAACACCAACTGGCAGTAATCAAATCGGCGTCTGTCTAGCTTAACTCCAGATATCAACTAAATTCAGTAAACTGAGTAACTACTTTTTCCCACAGGGCCTCTTTATCACAGGACGCGGTTTTGTTTTCCTTCAATAAATGAAATTTTTTATTGTCATCGTTTTTGTTTACCTTTGATACGCATTAATCTGGACATTTCCCCCTCATTTTTCTTCACTGAGTCTTGTCATTTTTCACTATTATATTATTATCTTTTGGATCCAGATTTCTGTATACAAATAAACTGAATGTGAATTAGGGGCAGTCAGGGCTTTAACAGAATAAAGAGCATCATGTCAAGACAGAGTGTGTTTTGTCTTTTAAAATTAAATAAGTTCTCAAAACACGAACACTTGAAATGATGTGTGATTACTTTAGTTTTATTGTCTTTAAAATTATCACACACAGTGTGGAAGTACATACACAGATAAACATCTACAGCAGTGTTTATTTAAAAAAAAAAAACAAACCCTGAACTGGCATGTTCTGCTCACTGATGTGCTTCAGTGTGTGTGTGTGTGTGTGTGTGTGTGTGTGTGTGTGTGTGTGTGTCTGCCAGATGGAAACAGACAGAAAGAGAGAGCTTCAGACCTCTACTATGTTCTCAGGATAAGAAATCTGTAAATCATTATTTACTTTGTCCACTAGATGGCTTTACGAAGTGCTGACTATATCAGAGCCAGTTAGACCTACACAAATATCAAATGTGAGCTATGGACTATGAAACTACTAAACTTTATTGATTTCAGTGTTGCAGTAGCAAGATGTATAATTGGATATAAACATATATTAGGCAGAAATAAAAAAAATAGACATATGTTAGAGAAAACTATGAGGGAGTAGAAAGAGAACTCTATCTATTTGCATATTTACATGGCATATAAGTCATCTAAGATCTAATGATGAACTAAGACTTCATTAGTTCTTTATCCGTAATTGTAAGTGAAATGTAAAACGTAAATAAAACTATGAGCTTTTATAAAACTCATCACCCAAACTCAGTCAGTGTGTCTACTCCGTGATTTTACTACTTCACTGAAATGTATGAAATGAATAATCTCTGATTAGGTGTAAAACCATGTTTATAAGTGTGTTATAACTGCAGTTTTTTTATGTATTTTTTTATTATTTAAAAATAAAAACAGCATATTAACACATTGACCTCTCACAGTCATGAACTACACTTATATATTTATTATAAGGGACAGAATAAGAGTAAATAAAAGTAGAAAATGTATTTTTGACCTCATTCAAGTCCAGTCATTTGCAAAAGTTTGCACACCGCTTGTCAAATTACATGTACTGTTCATTTTCGACAATTTACAGCACATACAGCTGGACTGTATCACGGACTGTATAACTGCAAAACTCATCTGTTTTGTGCTGGTCCGTTAATCAACAAAACCAAGTGATTTTTGAAGTTTAGCCAGAGGTGAACTTGGGCACATTCAGTCTGATTATTTCTATTTCCAGAGTAGATAAAAATAAAGCCAGTTTTAGATAGATAATTAATAATGCTGAGATTCATGGCTGTTTCTTCTCTAAAGGACCAACACTAAAGCGGCTTGTGTGCTAACAGCACCCCCTGCTGGAGAAAACGTTAGGCAGTTTTAGTTTTAAGGCCTCATCCAAGTGCTTTACATATAAAAACAAGGAGTTTTCCATCATTATAGGAGGCTCTGGAATTCAGATTTAAACGATGTTGAGGTTTTATTTTCATGGTTCTACGTATTTTAAGTTTGATATTTAATGTAATTTGACGAGTCGTTTAAAATTACATTAGGCCTCTAGTTCTGTCAGTTTTCTTTCCCAGCATAGTGATCATTAACACTGAAGAATCATCAGCATTATATAAAAGCATAAAGAAAACAGCAAATTGTGTTTTTTTTTTATCACGTTTGGTTTTCAGCTTCAGTTTCTGTCTCTGTTCTTTATTTCGGTCACATAGCAAAGCATGAGTGATGCTTATGAAAGGTTAGTTCATGTGTACAGACTGAACTGCACTGTTTATTTCTACTACAGCACACTATAGTGTAGTACCAGCATATGACCACAAGATGTCCTTCATCTTGTACAGCATAAAGTGGCCGACTGTGTAAGCCATATG